TTGAAAGCTGTGTCCCATTTTCAAAAGTGTAACAGCAACATCTACTTTCAGAAAATTTAATGGATGTTTCATACTCTGATTATTTTCATATAAGCACCTTGCTCCACTCCTAGACAGAAAGCTGTAGAAGATAGAAACCATATCTTGGTCATCATATCTAAATGACCTAGCACAATACCTTGCTTCAGGTATGTATTAAATAAACATTTGTGTGCATGAATGACCAAACGACTGTAATTCTTTCATCCAAGGGAACCATTTTCTATTTGTTAATGGTTTTGGTTGTTTTTCTCTGAAGCTATCCCAAGGGAGGTTGCATCTGTTTCTGCATATGGAACCCAAATTGCACACCATTCATATCTTAAACTACTGGGTTATTTTGTGAAGATGAAGCAGGAAGTATGCTCCCCTGTCATTACTTTACCACCCTGGAGTTTGTGACTGCCATCTCTCTATACACTTTTCCAGTGCTAAATCAATATCCCCTCACACAGGGACAAGCAAATGACAGGTTCCAGGCAACAAAGGGTAGCCTTACAGATGACAAGAAGGCAAATGGTGGGGTGAGTTGGCAGAGACTGTTAAAAAGAAAAAGCAGGGTGGCTCACTGGGAAACAGAGCCAGGATGGGGCTCTGGTTGCTGTGGTCAAGACTCTGGGTACAGTCCTGGGAGGAGCAGTTTTTACTACTCTGGTTGCTGTTGGTAAGCGGGGTATAGAGGAGGGAAGAGTAGCAACCCCTTCCCACTTCACTCCTAATTCCTCCCTGCTCGGTCCTCAGAGGAATGGCTCTAAGCTGGAAGTAAGACCCAAGATAAGAGAGAATTTTGATGCAAAATATGGGGTTCTCAATGACAAGAAGGAATGGGGGACAAGGAGACCAGTCATCCTCTAAATCTCATCCCAGAAGGAAATGGAGGCAGGAGTGAGACACACTGCACAGTTGATGGACTTCAGAGTTCTAGGAGTCTAAGAAGAGAAAATGGACAGGCTTAGCTCTTGTTAGAAATCATAAGGAGAAGACAAGCTATGTGACATACACTCATACTCATAATCCAGCACTCAGGAGGCTGAGGCAGGAAGATCTCGAGTTCAAGAGCAGATTGCACTATGTAGCAAGCTTCAGGCCAGCCTAGGCTACAAAGTGAATAGCTATCTCAAAAAGAAAAAAAATAAGCTCTTGTTTCTTGTGCCTGCCAGAAGTAGAGCTTAGCTTCTGTTCCTCCTCCAGTCACCTCTGCTGCCATGACTCCCTGCTGTGATGGACTGTAATTCCCTTGGAACCGTAAACTCAAATAAACTCTTTCTTCTATAAATTGCTTTGGTCAATGTTTATATCACAGCAAAAGAAAAGTAACTAATACAGAAATTGGTAACGGGAGTGGGGTGTTGACTGTGAAGAACCTGACCATGTAGGGTCTTGGAGGAATGTGGAAGACTTTGGAAATCTGGGCTAGAAAAGCATTTGATTGCTGTAAGCAGAGCTTACAGGTCATTCTGGCAGGTGTCTGCAAGAAAGTAGTGCTGAGAACAATGTAGTTCCAGGGGGAAATAAGGACTTAAGCAGCACTTGGGATAGTTTGGCAAAGAGTCTGGCTGGAGTCTGCCCTCAACCCAAAAGCTTGCCTGAGGATAAGTTGAAAAGCAATGGACTAATTTCTCTGGCAGAAGAAATTTCAAGACAGCCTAATACAGAAATGGTGGCATGGCTATTAATGGTGAATATTATGCAGATCTACAGTGAAAAGAGGCAAATGGGGCAGAAAGAAATACAGAATGTACAGGATGGATTGAAAAAGAGCACTAGGAAGATAAATGTTGGAGCCTTGGCATGTGCCGGAGAGGATCCCTTTGATAAGGAGATTAAAGTGATTAAGGAGGGGCCTAAAGATTTGAACTTAAAAAGTGGAGAGAGTGCCTCCAGGGCAAGACCACACCCAGTTAAGCCACCAACTTGTTAAAGGAAAATGCTGCAGAGACCACTGAAGAGCAAAGCTTCTAAAATGGATAAAGCAGGCAGTAGTCCACCCCACACTTGCAGTCAAACTTAGCATTCACCTGGTGCTGGCTTTAGAGGCATGAAAGATGCAAGAGTGAAGAGGTCATCAGTTCTTCCTCCAAGATTTCAGAGAGCCAGTGAGGCCAGGCAGCATGCAACAGGGATTCTCCTGCATAAAGAAGGCCCTGATAGGCCATTGTGTGAGCTGTGAAGGTGAAGCCTGGTTAGCAATGGAGACCCCAAGAAGATGTTAGTGATGCCAGAGCCGTGAAGCATCTGCCAAGACCTGCATACAGGGAGTGGTAGCAGCCCAAGAGGGAGATGTATATTGCACACAGCAAAGCTGGAGTGGCTGAGCCACCTAAGCCCTTTGGAAGTAAAATCCCAGAAGTCAGACATGGAGCTACTGGATTTGGTGTTTATCCTGCTGGTTTTCGGTCTTGTTTTGGCCCAGTATTTCCTTACTATGCTTCTATTCCTCCCTTTTGGAATGGTAATGTGTATTCGGTTCCAGTGTATGTTGGGAGTATGCAATTTGTCTTTTGATTTTACAGGTGCTTACAGTTAAGATATTTACCTGAGTCTCAGAAGAGACTTTGGACTGTGGACTTCCAAAGAGTACTGAGACTGGTAATAACTATGGGGACTTTTAAAAGTTGCATTTTGGCCGGGTGTGATGGCGCATGCCTTTAATCCCAGCACTCGGGAGGCAGAGGCAGGTGGATCTCTGGGAGTTCGAGGCCAGTCTGGTCTACATAGTGAGTTCCAGGACAGCTGGGGGTACAGGGAGGCACTGTCTCAAAAAAGACAAAAAAAAAAAAAAAAAAAAGTTGCATTTTGCATTTTATATGGTCATGAGCCTATGGGGGCCAGGGGATGGAATTTGGTGGCTTGAATGAAAATGTGCCCCATAGGCTCCAAGTATTTGGACATTTTGTCCCCAGATGGTGGCACTGTTTTGGGAGGTCTAAGAAGGTGTGGCTATCCTGGAGGGCACACATCACTGAGGGTGTACTTAGAGAGTTCTTAAACTTTGCCAGATCTGCAGTTGTTCTCTTGCTTCCTTTGCCTGCTTGAAGATGTAGAGCTTAGCTTCTGCTCCTCTTCTAGCCACCTCTGCCACCATGCCTCCCCGCCAAGACAGACTGCAATTCCCCTGGAACCATAAGCTCAAACAAATGCTTCCTTTCATTAAAAAAAAAAAAAAAAGAAAAAGAAAATTTAAAAAAAGGGAGGAGTGCATGAAACAGAAAGACCATTTTGAAACAAGAAGCTGAGAACATTTTTAGAGAGAGACCTTCTAGGAGAGTAACATAACAGACACAGAAACTAGTATGATGGCTTGAGTTGAGAAAGCCAACCAGAAACAGAGACTGGGAGCCAGAAGGCAGTTAGTATGACCAACTGGGCCTGCTCTCGGAGGAGAAAACACACCTGCTGAAGAAGAAAAATAGAGAGGAGGAAGGGAGGCAGTCCCTGACTTCAGGGCCACAAAGCAACTGCTTTCCTCTCTTTAATTTCTGTGGCATGTCCCACTAACCACAAGAGCACACTGGGAAAGGGTGTCCCAAGGAAAGGAGGGAGAGAGATGACTCCAGACCTCCCGCCTGCACATATTCCAAGAAAGCTCAACCACCTGCAACTGGGCAGCCACTGGGTCAGAGTTAAAAAACTACAAGGAGAGAAGCAGCTCTGAGGAGGGAGGCTGGGGGCCTGGGAAGGAAGAATCCTATATAGGGCTACAGGCCTGTGGCTGAGTGCAACCTTCTTCCCCAGGAGCTGGGCTCTCCCACCCTGGAAACGCTCAAGTGGCAACGAGCATGCAGTGTCAGTATCCAGACTGAAAAAGACCTTGAAGGTCCTTTAGGTCAAATTCTTCTTCTCCTTGATCATCAGCTACTTGTGACAGCCATCCTTCTAGTTCACAGTCGGAATGATTTGCACTAGCACTGAGAGTTTGGGTTAGAAGCACACATCTCCAAACAGAACCAGCTCAGTGTGGCAATAATACCCTCTTTGCAGACACAACAGACAAAAATACCAAATCCAACGAAGGGTAAAGCAGTTGGCCAAATGACCTGTGAGAGGGTTTTCTCTATGTTTCCTGAAACTTGGGAAAGTGAAGCCCAGGGAGAGGATGCACCAGAACTTTGAACCAGGCCCCTCAAGCTGAAGAAGGACACTTGTCCCGGGAATTTCTCCACTCTTTCTTCTTGGTCACTAAATGACCTTACATTTTGTTAGCCTCATCAAGAGTACACTAAAAGTCACTGTGGATAGGATAGGCACATCCATTGAAGTAAAGAGAGAAAGAGATCATCACCTCCTTTCTTAAGCGGAAACTGAGGGCACAGAAACCTAAGTGCTTTCATGAAGTAAAAACACACGTGGAAATCTACCTTATGTCAGGGTCGCCTGGGGCAGGGTCTGGGAAGTTGGGCAGATGCGCAGATTTCTCAAAGAGGGTTTCAAAGACTGGCAGGAGATGGCCAGGACGAGCAGAGAAAACCACGCATCGTTAGGTGCCTTAGAAACACAGGAGGATGGCGCGTGCGACGGGCGACTCTCTCCGAGGTACAGTTGATAAAGAATCCCCTAAGGCTCAGCAAGAGAGGAAGCAGCGAGCCAACCCGCAAGCGGTGGGCAAAGTTAGGGCTCCCGCCGAGCGCAGCGAATGGCCTAGGTGGAGGCGGCGGAGGGTATTACACTCAGCTCGCGCGCACACCGCGAGCCTGCAGCCTGGCGCGGCGGAAGATGCCCCAGGTCTCGGCCGGCCTCGGGCAGAGCGCGTGGGCAGCCGAGAAAAGAGGAGCCGGGGAGTCCCGGCCATAGTCGGCGCGGCGGGCAGGCGGGGCTCAGGGCCCGAGGCCGCCCCCACCGGCTGGGTCCCGGACTAGGCGCGGGCCGCGCCGGCACCTGGAGAGGGTCTGGGGAGAGGCGAGTCCCCTACATCGGCGGCGCGCACTCATCTCCGCGCGCTCGTCGCCCCCAGCGCTACTTACTGCGGTTCAGGGGGTTCCCGCCGACCTGGGCCGACGCCACCAGTTCCAGATACAGAGTCCAGAGTCCCACGGACACTACAGCGAGCACCACCAGCAGCCGGAAGCGCCTCCGCAGCAGCTTGACCGGGCGCAGAAGCAGCAGCAGCGGCAGCGCGGCGCGAGGGCTCCCCATGGCGCTGCGCCCAGCCGGCCGCCGCTAGCGCGGGCCACTCGGTACCCAGCCCCGGCCGGCCGGCCCGGCCCAGCGTCCCGGTCGCAGCCCTAGTCCCAGTCCCGTACTTCAGTGATGATCCCCGGCTGTCTCCCCCGGGCGCGCTCCGGCGGGCCCCAAGCTCATGCTCTGCGCGCTCGGGTCCCTACGCTGAGCCGGCGCCTCACAGTTCTCGCTCCAGCCGCGGAGCCCGGCTCCTCCTCCCCGAGTGTCCGCACTCCTCTCCACGCCTCTCCTCTCTAGTCGCGGTCCCGCCACCTCCCTCCCTCCTCGCTTCCTAGCTCGCCCATACACCCGGCCCCGGAGGAGCTCCTAGGTGCTCCCCAGCCTCCGCGGTCGCCTGCGGCAGTCCGGGCTCTTTTTTTCCAACTCTGAGCACTACCTTTCAGCTCACCTGTCCCGCCCCCGCTCACCCCGGCCCCGCCCTCGGGCACAGGTGGGTCCCGCCCCCTAGAGGCCTAGGGCCGGCAGGGGAGCCTTTCTGGCTCCTAGGGGTGGCTAGAGGTAGGGCCAGAGAACTTGGTTGTTAATGTGGCCACTGGCTAGGGATCGTGAGAAGCTAGGGAAGGAGAGAGGGTGGGAGAGGGTGCGAGTTAAGATGTGGACTCTGTGATCCAAGGAAAGGAGTGTAGCGGTGATATTAGCTGAGAAGCAGGGGACACAACTCAGCCATAGCTGTCTCCGGATTCAAATTTCAGCACCCTTCTTTTCTGGCCATAACCGCAACTCAAAAAGACACTAGGGAAACCCTAACATTCTGGGTGGAATAGATGTTGAGAGAAAATAGACGTTGGAGACTATTTTGAAGGGGGCGGCTAGGAGTACAATTCAGCGGTAGAGCATGTGCTTAGCATGCTTTCCATTACCAGCACCAGAAAAGAAAGAAGAGGTGGAGTTGGAGAGATGACACGGTGTTTAAGAGCACTGACTGCTCTTGCAGAGGAACCAGGTTCGATTCCCAGCACCCACATTGTGGCTAACAACTGTAACTCCAGTTCAGGGGCTCTGACGCCTCCTTCTGACTTCCGTGAGCATTGCACAACGCGGCTGCACTTACATACATACACATAATAAAAATAATAAACCGGGCGTGGTGGCGCACGCCTTTAATCCCAGCACTTGGGAGGCAGAGGCAGGCGGATCTTTGTGAGTTTGAGGCCAGCCTGGTCTACATAACGAGTTCCAGGACAGCTGGGGCTACAGGGAGACCCTGTCTCAAAAAGACCAAAAAAAAAAGCATTAAACTTCCAGCAATGAGTAGCATCA